TCATCTCCCTAGTGCAGGAACCCCAGGCTGGGGAGCCCGATGTGGGGCTCAGATCTCTCACTCTTTTGGGAGAACCTCTGCAATTGTAATCCTCTTGTTTGTGGTCACCCACCTGGAGGTGTGGGACTTGACTGTCACGACCTGCCCCTCCTACCCATCTTGTGGTTCCTTTCTTGTATCCTGAGTTGTAGAAGATTATTTCTTATAGGTTCCAGTCTTTTTCACAGATGGCTGTTCTGCAGATAATAGTGATTTTGATGTGCCTGTGGGAGGAAATGAGCCCAGGGTCTCTCTACTCTGCCGTTTTGGCTGATCTCTGTGGTCTGGTGCCTCCTGAGCTGCTTTTGCCTTGACTTCCCCTGTTAGGCCCCCATTATTTCACCCTTTTGATCTCACTGCTTTGGTTAAAAGGAACTATTTGCAGTTCCCAGAGTAAATAAAAGCTCATTACAGGGACTTCATCTGTTCTTGGGCATGGAAGCTGAGCTCAAATTCACCTTCTCTGCCAAGTTTTTCTGAAGGCCCTTTTCTCCTTGCAGAAACAGCCTCTGTCCTTGGCCTCCACCCTGTACCCTGAGTGCACTTCCACTAACGCACTGTAAAAACTCCTGCCTCTTTTTGTTTCCATTAGTTTCTCCTTTTGCCAGACTGCATGCTCTTGGTAGACCAGAGCTGATGCCTTCAGGTACCTCCGGGTTCAAGCTCAGCGTCTGGCACTCAGTGAATACCCCGGGAATAGTAATAGCTAACATTTATTAAGTGCTTACCATTTTCTAGGGCCTTGGGTAGAATTCTTAGAATGCTTTTCTTTTCCTAGTTGAAGAACACTTGCTAATCAGTCAGAGGGGTGGGGGTAGGAAGTGAGAAGAGGAGGTAAAGGTGGTGGGGAAGGATATGTAACCAATGCAAAATAAACATACATTGTGTTTTTTTTAAGGAACCACTTTCTATGATGTGAATTAACCAGGTAGTGTCTTAATCAGCTCCTCCAGAGAAGAGATATCCTTGCCAACCTTGTTTACTTCATCCACAGTCTCCTATACATGCTCCTTTTTTTTTAACAAATCTATTGAGCTATAATTGAAATGCAATATATAGCATATATTTAATAGCATATAATTTAGTCTTAACGTATATATTCACCTTGGAAACCATGACCACAATCAAGTTAATGAACTTCTTTTCTTGTGTACCCAGACAACTCCTGATCTGCTTTTTGTCAATGTAGATCAGTTCACATTTTCTATAATTTTATATAAATGAAACAATATAGTATGTATTCTTCTTTTGTCTGGTTTCTCTTGCTCAACATAATTATTTTGAGATTCATCCACATTGTTTTGTTGTATTAATAGCTCACCCCCCCATTTTATTGTGATGTAATTGACATATAACATTGTGTAATTTTAAGGTGTACAACACAACGACTTGATATGTGTATACATTGCGTTGGGTCAACGTGATCACCACAGTTAAGTCAAGTTAGCATCCATCCACAGCCTCACATAGCATAGTTACAGTTTTTTTTTCTTGTGATGAGAATTTTTAAGGTCCACCTCCTCAACAACTCTCAAGTATACAGTACAGTGTTGTCAGCTCTAATTACCAAGATGTACATTACATCCCCGTGACTTCCTCGTCTTGTACTTGGAAATCTTTGGACCTTTTGATCGCCTTCATCCATGTCCCTCACTCCCCACCCCCACCTCTGGCAACCACCAATCTGTTCTTTGTTTCTGTGAGTTTGATTTCTTTAGATTCCTCTTATCAGTGAGATCATGTAGTGGTAGATGCCCGATAAACAACAACAGCTAATATTTATTGAGCTTTTACCATTTTCCAAGGGTGTGTAGACTTTGTGGTTACCTTCATTTTAGGATGAGAAAACTGAGTTACAGAGAGGTTAACTTAACCAAGATCACATAAATGGCAGTGGTTCAGATGAAGTGCTAACCAGGGTCTCCAAAATCTCCTGACAAGACTCTTAGCCCCTGAATGATCTACTTTGGAATGTCAGTTTGAATAAATCCATACACTTTGCTGTTGGTTCTAAATCAAATCTCAACTTCTTCCAAAGCTGAAATCAAAATCTTTTTAAAAATCACAAAACTGAAGATAAGCTGTCTGTAGTTACATCTTATAAATTAGAAGTTTTATAAGAATTTTGAAATCTTGAAATTGTTAACCCTTAGTAGTAAGTAGAGTACCTTATTTTTACTAGGGAAAAAAAAACTCAATAAAATACTTCTTGTATATTTTGTTTTACATTGGTTTTTATTATGAGTTGAAATGAGTCTCCCTCCCCCCAAAAATTCATAGGTTGAAGTCCTAATCCTCAGTACCTCAGAATGTGACCTTATTTGGAAGTAGGGTAGTTGCAGATGTAATTGGTTAAGAAGAGGTCAGACTAGAGGAGAGTAGGCCCTGATAAAATATGACTGGTGTTCTTATAAGAGGAAGAGACACCAGGGATGTGTGCAAACAGAGAAAAGACCGCGTGAGGACACCATAACAAGAAGGCTCTCTAAAGCCAAGGAAAGAGAAACCAAACTTGCCAACATCTTGACCTTGGACTTCCAGACTGCAGAACTCTGACAAAATAAGTTTCTATTGTTTAAGTCATTTAATTTGTGGTACTTGTTACTGTAGCCCTAGCAAACAAATACACTTTTTTCAAACATATATTATCTCAATGTACACTCCCTAGAGTGACACTTTATTTCTTCTAAAAGTAAATTTATAATTCAAGTTACTTATATGGGCAACAATTTAGAAGTACATGAAGTTAAGAAAAAGATATCCTGTAGTGATTTCTCAACAAAAACATATCTATTGCAATAAATAATTTTTAAGTGTTTAACATAAACTTAGTAGCAGTTTTCAGTCCTTCTGAGACAGAATAAAGTTAGGACTTAGCAGTCCAAAGAGTTTTGGGATTGCAGAAGGATAGAAATTTCCAGCTGGAGAATGAGGACAGACCAGCAGTTGACCCCATTTTACTTTTTTTTTCAATTGAAGTATAGTTGATTTACAACATTGTGTTAGTTTCTGGTGTACAGCATAGTGATTCAGGCATACATATATATTATTTTCAATATTCTTTTTCATTATAGGTTATTACAAGCTATTGAATATAGTTCCCTGTGCTATACAGTAGGACCTTGTTGTTTATCAGTTCTGTATATGGTAGGTTGTATCTGCTAATCCCAAACTCCTGATTTATACCCTCTGCCCCTTTGGTCACTGTAAGTTTGTTTCTATGTTGGTGAGTTCAGTGTTTTCTTTACAAGCATCCACCAGAGGCTTTTCACTTGGGACTCAGTATCCAGATAATTGGGTTTCTTCTGGAAATCCATTTCATTTGTATCTTGAGGGTGCCAAAAATCGTTTAATAAAATGATTGTATCTTCCTCTACAAAAGCAAAATATACAGCTCACCCTCCCAAGAGCACACATGTGCACATCCCTGGGCTATACTTCCCCACTTTCACTTTTTTCTTTCCTGTCTTTTCCCTTTATCCTGACTCTCTATGTACCTTTATTCTTTTGTACTATATCCACTGTGGAAAGCAGAGAGGATAAACATGTGGACAAAAAAATAAGAATATGAGCTTTATCTTGATCTGCCTGGCCAGGAGCTCCATTGTCAGAGGTAGACACACTGGATTCTGCAGATACCAGGCTCAATGCAAGATCTAGTTTTAGGTATAGATAGCCTACCACAGTGACAGCCCTCCTTTCTTCTATGTCAACGGTATTGGTAATATAAACTGGCAGAGTACTTTACTCAGATTAGTGATGATGGTGTTTATACCCCCTCCCCATCTTCTTCCTCTCCCTCTCCTCCTCCTCCTTCTTAATATTTCAGGAGAATCTGTATTTGAATAGAACTGACTGCCATGGCTGCAGGAACATGTGAACATGCTGACATTCTCTGAGGGTCATGTTCTGGTTCTTGATTCCCCTGGCTACAACTCATTTTTACGGTATTTATTCCTACATCATTTGCATCTCTGTGGAAGCGCTTATTTACCATGTTTTGCAAAGGTCTTGTCTCCAAATAGATTGAAAACGACTTGGAGGCACACGTTAGTCATCTGTGTCACCATGGCAAGGCTTGTAGGGTGCTGTGCACAAAGTTGCTATGCAACACTCACAAATGTTGGCATTGTTTGCGATTAATAATACTGTGGTGTCTAAGAAGACTTACTCAGAAGGGGTGCAGGGAATGCCATTGTGACTATTTGGTGAATGTTAATACCTTAACAAACCTTTTCATAAAGTTGCTTTGGTGGTTAAAATATTCCAAACTTTCTTTCATCATGCAACCTTTTCTTTTATATATTTTTCTAAATTCCTAAAAAAGAAAGAAAGAAAGAAAGCTCAAAAGGGGTTGGAGGTAGGGGAGGCTAGCAGCTAAACTTTCCTTGGGATCTTTACTTATCTACCCTAGGATCACGCATCTGAGTTGTGATCATCACAGACTGTGTAATTCCGTTTGTAAATTACAAACGGGAGCGAGTTTTTGAATCTACTACCAGACTGATAGTTTTTCTCATACAGTCCTCACGGTTATCCCATAAGGTAGACATTGGGAAGAGAAGAGACAGGAGAAGCGAAAGGCTTTCAGGATCTCATGGACAAGCGGGAAGTGGAACGCACTCTGATCTCAAAGCCAAGCTCTGCATCCCTTTTCACATTCTTGAGTGGAGCCTCCTAGGAAATCAGGATGTTCATTTTCCCTTCGCGCTGCTGTTTCTGCACAGACACAGGCAACTTTTAGGCAGAGCGCTACCCATATTGTGCCAAGGTTTCCGGGAGGAACCTCACTCCTCGCGCTACCTGCTACATTCCCACGGCCTCCCAGCTCTGAGCGCAGTAACCGCCTCAGTCAGTTTCAAGTGGATGGCAGGAATTTACAGGAAGCTCCTTGGCACCGCCCCCAGGCCTCAGGGCTCCTCTGATTGGGCGTGGCTGACTCCGGCCGGCCAATGGTGAGGCGGCGGCAGGTTCCCGGAAGTGGCAGCGAGGTTAGCGCGGCTTGGGCTTCCGAGGGCGGCGAGGCGGCCAGTCGGCTGGGTTTGATCGGAGCGATGAGCTCCTTCGAGGGGCAGATGGCCGAGTATCCAACCATCTCCATAGACCGCTTCGACAGGGAGAACCTGAGGGCCCGCGCCTACTTCCTGTCCCACTGCCACAAGGGTGAGTAGCGCGGCGCGCCGCCCCTCCCGGTCCCCGGCTGCGCGGGTTCTGTTCCCGCGAGGAGGTCGCCCAGGGGCTGGAGAGGAGGGAAGGCGGAGGTCGGGGTCCCGGAGGAGGGAGTGCAGGCCGTGAGGGGGCCCGGGGAGAGACTAGCGACTGCAGCTTGTCGCAGACTGGCCCGCCTGAGGCTTTATTTATCCGCTCTTCGGCACCACGGGACGGAACAGCGCCTGCGAGTGATCACCGACCCAGGCCAGTTTGATTAGGCACAACTCCTGGGTTCTCTCCGCAACTACTCGGAAGCCCTCCCCGGGCCCAACAGTCAGGGGTTGGCGAGGATTTCTTAGTTCTTCCCCCATGTCCTCGCGACTCTGTTATGAAGACACGTTTAGATGAAATTCTGCGATACCCCCCAATTTATTACCAAGCCAGTGCGCATCAAATGAAACATCCCGTCTGTCAGCTCCACGAATCGCAAGAGCCCCCTCCTTATAGGTGTTCTGTCCACATCCAGTTTGAAAGGTTCGGTTTTGGTCTAGAGGCAGGATGCGGTTTCCCTTAGACACGGCCAGGTCAGGCAACCGGAATACTAAGATTTCACAGCTGAACGGGGTTAGGAATGAAGCCTGGAGTTTCAGCCCCGAAGATATACGGTCCAGATGCTGGATGCTCCAGGCAAGGCCGAAGCGTGTGTACAACATTTTAGCCCATCTCCAGAGCTGGACTACCACTGATTTCACAACCATTGTCTATTTTTAACATCTGGTTCGCTGACTGATATGTCACTAACTTTACCAATGAAAATAGGGTTGCTATGCTAATTAGCATAGCCTTTGCACTGACAGGGTTGAAGCTTAATTGAAGCGTTCTAAAAGCTGCCTCTTGGAGTAAGGGCCTCCAGAGTAGCTTAAGTAGCATGCCCTCAACCCCTCTTCTAAGAAGTGACTCAGATACATGCCACACGGTGTGACTTTAAAGTGAATTACAGATATCAAAACATGCCCGTCTTCAGCAACTGTTGTCTTGAGTGTGGAATCACTCACTTTAACCTGTTGTAAATCATTGAAGTTACAGCTTTGGGGAAATGCCTCTGCTTTCTGGCTCTATGCCCCTAATTATCTCTCTTTAATAAAGGAAATCTGAATCTCCTCTCTCAATTTGCTAAAAAGCAGGTGAGCCTCTTTCAGGGTCTTCTTTTTTTCCAACCAAATAAAAGATTTTGTTTTAAACTAGATTGCATTGATTCTATACATCAGTTTGGAGAGCATTAAAATCTTTTTGCATTTAAGTCTTGTGAGGGTCTTTCTGCTTCTTCTTGAGGATAACATTTTTTTGTTTTTGTCTTGTTTTTCATTGAGAATCCACTGCTGCATCAAGATGCCCCTGTTTTACCTTTTGTGTTGAGTCTTGCTGGCCTTTCTGAACTCACATGTGGTCACAACGAAAGAATGGCTTTGGGGCTTGGCCTTCGTGTTTCGGAGTAGTGGAGAAAGAGTTCATCTAAAGGAATGTGTGAAATCATCATCATTAGTTAGTACTTTAAGCAAGCAATGGACTCTCTACTGTCGACCAGTTTAGAATAACTTTTCCTGTTTTCTGATCACACATGGGTCTGTTTACCCAATGAGGGTGTAAACTCATCAAGGGCAAGAACTCAGTTTAAGAGGTTGCCACATTGCCTATTGGTGGTTTTTAAGTTTTTTTGGGAAACAGACTTCTTCAGAAGTGCTATGAACTGAATTGTATACCACGCCCCCTGCCATTCATATATTGAATCCCTAATCCCCAATGTGACTGTGTTTGGAGAAAGGGCTTTTAGGAGGTGATTAAGGTTAAATGAGGTCATAACGGTGGAGTCTTAATTTGCTAGGATTGGTAGCCTTAAAAGAAAAGGGAGAGCAGTCTCCCTCCACCTGCACAATGAGGAGAGGCCTTGTGAGCTCACAGCAAGAAGGTGGCTGTTTTAAGGCACGAGGGGAGGCCACACCAGAAATCAGCCTGGTCACCTTGGTCTTGGACTTTAGCTTCCAGAACTGTTAGAAATAAATTTCTGTTGAAGCCATCCAGTCTGCGATATTTTGTTATTGAAGCCTGAGCAGACTAATACAGAATACCTGACAAGATCCATGGACTCTAGTTAGAAAAACTGCACAAAAACATGTTCATATCACACTTTGATACAAGTTGGGGTGGGCCAGGACCCCCTTGATGCCCGTTTATGACCCTTCTGGGATCCAGTGCTGCACTCAGGGCAGGCTTTGCTAAGCATCAGTGAGGCTTGGAGGATGCCCAGGGGACCCCCCAAAACAGTGGCCCAGGGTTGGGGAGGGGGTTCCTGTCAGGAGACAACTTGAGATGATTTATTCTGGTCCAGGAAAAAGAAAAAGGCCCTGGAAAGGAGACTCTGGGGCAGCACAAAGTAAACTCACCTGGGTTCCCTTGACTGCCCGCCGGGAAGGGACCTGGGTGCTGGGATGTGGTGTCTTGGTGAAACAGGGTGCTGCCTGCTGAGTTAGTTTGGGAGCATGGAGCAGAGTCCTGAATCAGCCTTCTTTCTGCTGTGTCTCAAACTCTCTGGAAACCCTGGTTACTGAGAGTCCTGCCCCAGGATGCACTCATTGGCCCTAGAAGCCTGAACCAGGAGTGACCCAAGGAGATGTCCCCTCTGAGGGGGCAGGTGGAGTGTCGGCCACATAGGGTGGGGTGACGGCCTTATTTTCAAGGCTTAAGGATTGCCACTGGGAAGTTGAGGGCAGGTGTGTTCATGGTAATTAGGATAATTAGATTTTTTTCTTGTGGGTTATTGTTCTGTTATTTAACATTGTCTCCCCAACAACCCAGCTTGACTGTCTTTGCTTTTTGTCTTAATCAATTGGCAGTATTGACATAAATGAATCAAAATGCAAATGAAAGTAATTTTTGGCATATGATTTGAAGAGGAAAAGACTTTCAAAATAACCTCTTGGGTTATAGGGTTTTTTTTTTTAAGTAAAATTAACTTTCAAATAGCATTTATGTATTAACCTTAAAAGTGCTGGGAAAAAGTTATTTAGAGAGAATAATTTTAGTTTAATTAGCTTTAAACTTATTAAACTTAACGGTTTTTAGAAATTTTATGAAGATTGTTAATTCGTTGTTAGACAACAACACATTTTTTTAAATTCCTTTTTTTTCCTTTTTCGTTTCTGACCCCCTTCACCCTTTTCTCCCATTCCCCTACCCCCCACTCTGGCAACCACCAGTATGTACCCTGTATCTATGAGTCTGTTTTCTGTTTTCACATTTCACGTATAAGTGAGACCATACATTATTTGTCTTTGTTGGACTTATTTTACTTAACACAATATCCCCAAGGTCCATCCATGTTGTCACAAATGGCAAGAGTTATTCTCTTTATGGCTGAGTAATATTCTGTTGTGTGTATCTACACCACTTCTTTATTCATCATCTATTGATGGACACTTAGGTTGTTCCCATTTCTTGGCTATTGTGAATAATGCTGTAGTGAACATGGGGGTGCAGATACCTTTTTGAGTTAGTGGTTTTGTTTTCTTTAGTTAAATACCTAGAGGTGGGATTACTGGACCATATGGTTGTTCTGTTTCTCATTTTTTGAGGTGCCTCCATGCTTTCCTTGAGTAGATGCACCAATTTACATTCCCACCGACAGTGCACAAGGGTTCCCATTTCTCCATGTCCTTTACAACACTTGTTATTTGTGTTCTTTTTGATGACAGCCGTTCTGACGGGTGTGAGACGATACCTTGTTGTGGTTTGGATTTGCATTTCCCTGATGATTACTGGTGTGGAGCATCTTTTCATGTACCTGTTGGCCATCTGTATGTCTTGGGAAGAATGTCTATTCAAATCTTCCCATTTAAAAAGATCAGATTGTTTGTTTTTTGCATTGTATGAGTTCTTTATATATTTTAGATATTGGTCCCATATTGGAAATATGATTTGCAAATATTTTCTCTTATTCAGTAGGTGTTTCCATCTTGTTGGAACTTTCCTTTGCTGTGCAGAGCTTTTTAGTTTGATGTAGTCCCACTTGTTTCTTTTTGCTTGTGTTGCTTTTGCTTTTGGTGTCAGATACAAAAAACATTGCCAAGACCTATGTCAAGGAGATGACTGCCTATGGTTTCTTCTAGAAATTTTATGGTTTCAGGTCTTACATTGAAGTCTTTAATCTGTTTTGAGTTAATTTTTGTGTGTGGTGTGAGATAGTTGTCAGGCTTCACTCTTTTGCATGTGGCTGTCCAGTTTTTCTAGCACCATTTATTGAAGAGATTGTCCTTTCCACTTTGTGTATTCTTGGTTTCTTTATCATAAATTAATTGATCCTGTATGTATGAGTTGTTTTTCTGGGCTTGCTATTCTGTTCTGTTGATCTATCTGCTTGTTTTTATGTCAGTACTGTGCTGTTTTAATTACTGCAGCTCTGCATTTTGTAATCAAGGAACATGACATCTCCATTATTGCTCTTTTTCAATATTGCTTTGGCTCTTTGGGGTCTTTGTGACTCTGTACAAATTTTAGAAGTATTTGTTCTATTTCTGTGAAAAATACTATTGGAATTTTGATATGGTTTGCACTGAATCTGTTGATTGCTTGGGTAGTATGGACATGTTAACAATATTGATTCTTTCAGTCCATGAACATGGACTAGCTTTCCATTTATTTGTGTCATCTTCAGTTTCTTTTATTAATGTCTTCTAGTTTTCAATATACAAGTCTTTCACTTCCTTGGTTGAATTTATTCCTAGGTATTTTATTCTTTATGATGCAGTTGTGAATGGTATTGTTTTCTTAATTTCTGTTTATGATAGTTTGTTATTAACGTGTAGAAACAGACTTTTGTTGATGTCTATCCTGCAACTTTACTGAATTCCTTTATTCCAACAGTTTTTTTCATGGAGTCTTTAGGGTTTTCTATGTGAAGTATCACATTGTCTATAAATAGCAACAGCCAGTTTTATTTCTTCCTTTCTACTTTAGACACCTTTTATTTCTTTTTCTCTGCTAGGAGTTCTAATACTATGTTGAACAAAAGGGCAAAAGTGAGCATTCTTGTCCTGTTCCTGATCTTAGAGAACAAGCTTTCAGCTTTTCATTATTGATTGTGATGTTTGCTGAGGGCCTATCACATATGGCCTTTATTATGCTGAGGTATGTTCCCTCCATACCTGGTTTGTTGAGAGTTTTTTTTTTTATTATAAATGGGTATGGAGTTTTACCCAATGCTTTGAGATTATTCTATGATTTTTATTGTTCATTTTGTTAATGTGCTATAATCACATTGACTGATTTGTGTATGTGGAACCATCTTTGCATCCCTGGAATAAATCCCACTTGATCATGGTGTAAAATCCTTTTAATGTATTGTTGACTTGTGTTTGCTAATATTTTCTTGAGGATTTTTACATCTATGTTCATCAGGGATACTGGCATTTGTGTGTGTGTGTGTGTGTGTGTGTGTGTGTATGTGTGTATGGTGTCTTTGGTTTTGATATCAGCGTAATGCTAGCCTCATAAAATGAGTTCTTTGAATGTTTGGTAGAATTCACCAGCACAGCCATCTGGTCCAGGACTTTTGTTTGTTGGATTTTCAAAATTACTGATATATTCTATATCCTTACTAGTAATCAGACCATTCAGATTTTCTGTTTCATCATGATTTAGTCTTGGTAGGTTGTATGTTTCCAAGAATTTATCCATTTCTTTTAGGTTGTCCAGTTTGTTGGTGTATAATTGTTCATAGTAGTGTCTTTTCTGTGGTAATTGTTGTAATAGCTCTTCTTTCATTTCTGATTTTGAGTCCTATCCCTCCCTCCCCCCCCCTTTTGATGGGTCCACCAAAGACTTGTCAATTTTGTTTACCTTTTCAAAGAACCAGCTGTTAGTTTCATTGATCTTCTCTGTTGTCTTTTTAGTCTGTATTTCATTTATTTCTGTTCTAATCTTTATTTCCTTCCTTCTACTAATTTTGGGCTTTGTTTGGTCTTCTCTTTTCTAGTTTCTTGAGGTGTAAAGTTAAGTTGATTATTTGAGATTTTTCTTATTTCTTGAGCCAGGCAGTTATCACTTGAACTTCCCCTTACAACTGCTTTTGCTGCATTCCACAAACTTTGATGTGTTTTATTTCCATTTCCATTTGTCTCAAGATGTTTTTAAATTTCTCTTCTGATTTCTTCTTTGGCCCATTGGTTGTTCAATAGCGTGTTGTCTAATCTCCACATATTTATGAATTTTCCAGTTTTCTTCATGTAGTTAATTTCTAGTTTCATACTGTTGTAGTTGGAAAAGATGCTTGATATGGTGTCTGTCTTCTTAAATTTATTGAGACTTGTTTTGTGGCCTAATGTATGGTCTCTCCTGGAAAATGTTCCATGTGCATTTGAAGAGAATGTATATTCTGTTGTTTTTGCATGGAAAGTTCTGTATATATTTATGGTGTTCATCTGATCTAATATGTCATTTAGGTGCAATGTTTCCTTACCGATTTTCTGTCTGGATGATCTATCCATTGATGTAAGTGGGGTATTTAAGTCCCCTGCTCTTATTATATTGTTTTGTATTTCTTCTTTTATATCTGTTAATATTTGCTTTATATATTTAGATGTTCCTATGTTGGGTACGTACATATTCACAAATGTTGTATCCTCTTGTTGGATGGACCCCTTCATCATTATGTAATACATTATGTAATATGATAATGTCCCTTATTACAGTCTTTGTTTTAAAGCCTATTTTGTCTAAGTATAGCTACTCCAGCTTTCTTTTTGTTTTCTTTGGAATTAGGATAGTTAGAATTGGCTTGATTTAATTAAACAATTTCAAAATGTTTTCCTCTTGTTATCCAGGCTCTTGCATGCTGAAGATTCAAAATGTATTATAATGCACTATATATTTAAGTTACCATTTGGGTTAAATGTTACCTTTCTTTAAAAGTCTCCTTGCTGTGTTTCTTAATTTGGAAAACTGTGGAGCAAGGCTCTGTGGGTAGCAATAACCCACCTTTCCACCCAGTAGTCACAGGCTGAGAAGATAATGAAACTCTTCTTAATCCAGTCTAAGCCCGAATGGTTTTCTCAAGGATTCCATGGAAGCAAACATGAATTTCCAGGTGAACTAACTTAAGTGACTGAAATTGAATGGGCCACAGAGAGCATGGCCCAAAGGGTGGGTGATTTAAAGTGAAAGGAAATTGATGGAAGCAGTTCCTAATGAGACCCTCATGCCGTCTTCTGTGGCTACTCCAAGTGGTTCAGACACAGCCAGGGAGTCATTCTCCTTTTAAATGGCTTCTGATGGCTCAGAGATGGTCAGTTTTAGTGGTTCTTGTCCTGATTTCAGGTGGATGCTTCATCTACAGAAGCAAGAGGCAATATCCCATATGAATCAACTCTCCTATAAAAATGAGCCTCTCATTTATTTTTTTTAAAAGGAACCCTAAAAAGAACAGACAACTCAGTTTCCTTGGGCCAAGGAGTCCTCTGAAAAATAATGTGTTTATGATTTCTCATTCTTTTGTTTTCAGATCACATGAAAGGATTACGAGCCCCTACCTTGAAAAGAAGATTGGAGTGCAGGTGATTTATTTTGTTACTTACTTGTGTGTTTTTTTTAGGTACAAATTTTAACTGAGTTATAATATCTCCACAGAAAACTACTTATTACGTCATAAGGGGACAGTCTGATGACCTTTTACAAGTGAGCATATCTATGTAGCTTTTGCCCATATCAAGAAATAGAACAGCACCAATATTCCAGAACGGAATCCTGACCCTTCTCCAGTCAGTCTTCCCTGCCCAAGGGTCACCTCTCTTTGACTTTTGTCATCATTGTTCAGCTTTGGCTGTTTTTGAACTTACTTAAATAGAATCACACGGAACAGACTCTTCTACTTGTTTTCTTTTACTTAACATTATATTTGAATGGTTCATCTGTGTTTTGGGGTACAGCAGTAGTCTGTTCGTTTTCTTTTCTATAAGTGTGTGTATGTATGTGTCTAAATGGTTGCTGCATTATAAAGAATCATATAATATTGTTGGATCTGTTCTTAAAGCTGAACCATTGCCTTCTTTTCCTGCAGCCATTACCAAAATCTAATTCCAAATCCTCAAAATACATACAATTGACCCTTAAACAACATGGAGGTTAGGGGAACCGCCCTTGTGTGCAGTCGAAAATGCACTTATATCTTTACAGTTGGCCCTCCCTACTCCCAGTTCTGCATCTCTGGATTCAACCAACCTCAGACTACCAAGTGCTGTAGTACGTATTTAGTGAAAAAAAAATCCATGTATAAGTGAATCCTTGCAGTTGAAACTTGTGTTGTTCAAGGGTCATCTGTATTTGGAGAGGACTCTATTGATTTTTTGACTCTTTGACCTTTGATTTAGCAGGCTTCTCTGCTAAGTGAT